GCTCATACCTCTCAGCTCGGGTACTAGTCTGGTGGCAAACCTTTGAACCTTTTCCAGTTTAGTTTTATCCTTGACTAGATATGGACTACATGCTGGGGCTGCATACTCCAGGATTGGCCTGACATATGTGGTATACAAAGTTCTGAATGATTCTTTACACAAGTTTCTGAATGCCGTTCGTATGTTGGCCAGCCTGGCATATGTTGCTGATGTTATCCTCTTGATATGTGCTGCAGGAGACAGGTCTGGCGTGATATCAACCCCCAAGTCTTTTTCTTTATCTGACTCCTGAAGAATTTCCTCTCCCAGATGATACCTTGTATCTGGCCTCCTGCTCCCTACACCTATCTTCATTACATTACATTTGGTTGGGTTAAACTCTAACAACCATTTGTTCGACCATTCCTTCAGCTTGTCTAGGTCTTCTTGAAGCCTCAAACAGTCCTCTTCGGTTTCAATCCTTCTCATAATTTTGGCATCGTCCGCAAACATTGAGAGAAATGAATCGATACCCTCCGGGAGATCATTTACATATATCAGAAACAAGATAGGACCGAGTACAGAGTCCTGTGGGACTCCACTGGGGACTTCACGCCAATCGGAGGTCTCACCCCTCACCGTAACTCTCTGCTTCCTATTGCTATTGTGTGTGTGTGTGTGTGTGTGTGTGTGTGTGTGTGTGTGTGTGTGTGTGTGTGTGTGTGTGTGTGTGTGTGTGTGTGTGTGTGTGTGTGTGTGTGTGTGTGTACTCACCTAGTTGTGTCTGCAGGATCGAGCATTGACTCTTGGATCCCGCCTTTCGAGCATCGGTTGTTTACAGCAATAACTCCTGTCCCATTTCCCTATCATACCTGGTTTTAAAATTATGAATAGTATTTGCTTCCACAACCTGTTCCCCAAGTGCATTCCATTTTCCCACTACTCTCACGCTAAAAGAAAACTTCCTAACATCTCTGTGACTCATCTGAGTTTCAAGCTTCCATCCATGTCCCCTCGTTCTGTTACTATTCCGTGTGAACATTTCGTCTATATCCACTCTGTCAATCCCTCTGAGTATCTTATACGTTCCTATCATGTCCCCCCTCTCCCTTCTTCTTTCTAGTGTCGTAAGGCACAGTTCCCTCAGGCGCTCCTCATACCCCATCCCTTGTAGCTCTGGGACGAGTCTCGTTGCAAACCTCTGAACCTTTTCCAGTTTCATTATATGCTTCTTCAGATGGGGACTCCATGATGAGGCGGCATACTCTAAGACTGGCCTCACGTAGGCAGTGTAAAGCGCCCTAAATGCCTCCTTACTTAGGTTTCTGAATGATGTTCTAACTTTTGCCAGTGTAGAGTACGCTGCTGTTGTTATCCTATTTATATGTGCCTCAGGAGATAGATTAGGTGTTACGTCCACCCCCAGGTCTCTTTCACACGTCGTCACAGGTAGGCTGTTCCCCTTCATTGTGTACTGTCTCTTTGGTCTCCTATCTCCTAGTCCCATTTCCATAACTTTACATATGCTCGTGTTGAATTCCAGTAGCCATTTCTCTGACCATCTCTGCAACCTGTACAGGTCCTCTTGGAGGATCCTGCAAACATCGACATGTAGGACTCTATGCCTGTAAACATGTCGTTAACATATACAAGAAATAGAATTGGTCCCAGCACCGATCCTTGTGGTACTCCACTTGTTACTGTTCGCCAGTCCGACTTCTCGCCCCTTACCGTAACTCTTTGGCTCCTTCCTGTTAGGTAGTTCCTTATCCATGCTAGGGCCTTTTCCCCCACCCCCGCCTACCTCTCGAGCTTGAACAGCAGTCTCATGTGCGGTACTGTATCAAAGGCTTTTTGGCAGTCCAGAAATATGCAGTATGCCCAACCATCTCTGTCCTGTCTTATCCTCGTTATTTTATCATAGAATTCCAGAAGGTTTGTTAGGCGCGATTTCCCTGTCCAGAACCCATGTTGATGTTTGTTCACAAACCTAATGTTCTCCAGGTGTGCAACCAGTCGTAGCCTAATTATTCTTTCCAGTATTTTACAGGGGATGCTTGTCAGTGATACAGGTCTATAGTTAAGTGCCTCCTCCCTATCACCTTTTTTGAAGATCGGCACGACATTTGCCTTCTTCCAGCAACTGGGCAATTCTCCCGACATAAGTGACTCATTAAAGACCCTTGCCAGAGGCACGCTGAGGGCCTGTGCTGCTTCTTTTAGTATCCACGGTGATACTTTGTCTGGTCCAACTGCTTTAGTTGCATAAAGCATTTAGTTGCTTTAGCTGGTCATATCCCCAACTGCTTTAGTTGTGTGTGTGTGTGTGTGTGTGTGTGTGTGTGTGTGTGTGTGTGTGTGTGTGTGTGTGTGTGTGTGTGTGTGTGTGTGTACTCACCTATTTGTGCTTGCAGGATCGAGCATTGACTCTTGGATCCCAAGAGTCAATGGGACACACAGTCACACACACACACACACACACACAGGTGTGTGTGTGTGTGTGTGTGTGTGTGTGTGTGTGTATGTGTGTGTGTGTGTGTGTGTGTGTGTGTGTGTGTGTGTGTGTGTGTGTATACTCACCTAGTTATGCTTGCGGGGGTTGAGCTTCTGCTCTTTGGGACCTTAAAGCAGTTCTCACAACATTTTTACGTAGACTGTTATCACAGATATACACCGCGAATAGTGAACCCCCATTCCCCTGTATTTACACTGAGAGTTTACCTCTGTTCTGGACTAATGTATAGTTGTTGGTTGGGCAGTAAGCTACACTGGAGTTCTTAATAACACTAGTGATTTGATGGATCATAAGTCTAACACGAAACTCTGCCAATCTCACTGTGGTTGTAGTTGTTATAGGTTGTGTTTTGCTGTGGCAAGTCTCCTAGCTGTACTGTAATGTAAAACTGTAGGTGATTAAGGAAGCGGCAAAGAGGCACATGCAACCTGTCCTCTAGCATATTTTTGACGTAAATTTTTCCAACGTCAAAGTAAGTTGTATTAAATTCTTAGCGGTTCGCCAAATATACGTGATGTTCCGTTTTCCATTAGTGGGTCCTCTGTTAGGTTAGGTTCGGGCAATTTTGAACATCTATTTTGTCAAGTTGTGAATGGTTTAGAAGCCGGGCTGGCGCAGAAGGCTTCCACACGCTTGGGTATCATGACCCACAACCTCCACCCACAACCTAAACCCATAACATCCATCCACAACCTCAACCCATAACATCTCCCCACAACCTCCACCCACAGCTTTCACCCACAACCTCCACACACAACCACCACCAACAACCTCCACCCACAACCTCCACCCACCGCTTTTACCCATAACTTTTACCCACAACCTCCACCCACAACCTCCACCTATAACCTCCACCCACAACCTCCACCCACAACCTCCACCCACAGCTTTCACCCATAACTGTCACCTACACTCTCCACCTACACCCTCCACCTACACCCTCCACCTACAACCTCTACCCACAACCTCCACCTACAACCTCCACCCACAACCTCCATACATAACCTCCACCCACAGCTTTCACCCACACCCTCCACCCACACCCTCCACGCAGACCCTCCATCCACAGCCTCCACACATAACCTCTACCCACAGCCTCCACCCATAACCTCCACCCATAACCTCCACTCACAGCTTTCACCCACAACCTCCACCCATGCCCGGAGCCGGTCAGCCGAGCGGACAGCACACTGGAATTGTGATCCTGTGATCCCGGGTTTGATCCTGGGCGCCGGCGAGAAACAATGGGCAGAGTTTCTTTCACCCTATGCCCCTGTTACCTAGCAGTAAAATAGGTACCTGGGTGTTAGTCAGCTGTCACGGGCTGCTTCCTGGGGGTGGAGGCCTGGTCGAGAACCGGGCCGCGGGGACACTAAAGCCCCGAAATTATCTCAAGACAACCTCAAGATAAGATGCCCTCCACCCACACCCTCCATCTACAACCTCCACCCACACCCTCCACCCACAACCTCCACCCACAGCCTCCACCAACAACCTCCACCAACAACCTCCACCCACAACCTCCACCAACAACTTCCACCCACAACCTCCACCAACAACCTCCACCCACAACGTCCACCCACAACCTCCACCCACAACCTCCACCCACAACCTCCACCCACAACCTTCACCCACAACCTCCACCCACAACCTCCACCCACAACCTCCACCCACAACCTTCACCCACAACCTCCACCCACAACCTCCACCCACAACCTCCACCCACAACCTTCACCCACAACCTCCACCCACAACCTCCACCCACAACCTCCACCCACAACCTTCACCCACAACCTCCACCAACACTCTCGTCAATCCTCTTACATATTTTACTGACCGTGTGCACACATTTTGTCCGTAATTATGAATGCCCTTCAAGAGCTGTTATTGCTCTTCCTGCAAGGTCATTCATGTTTATCATAGAAGTAAACTAAGTATGATTGTATAGGAGAGTTGCTTATAATGCTTCTGTACATATTTGTGAATTTTGTTAATTCACAAATTGTAAGACTCATTTAAAATCCATTTCACAACATTTCAGAGTAAAGCTTATAAATATTTAATGTAGACGTGTGGAATATGTGTACATACTAATTACTTTATTCCGTGAACACCTCAGCAGTCTAGCAAGAGTTATTACATTATAAAAGACAGCAAATTATTTTACTCAACATATTTCCATATTTACATGTACCATTAATGGTTCAGAGCAAGAGTTCGAGATATCTAATAATTAATGGTAAACAGTTGGAGACCAGGAGCTGATGGTGAACAGTTGGAGACCAGGAGCTGATGGTGAAACGTTGCAGGCCAAGGGAGTTGATAGTGAACAGTTGCCGGCCATGAGGGGGTTTTAGAACAGTTACAGTCCAGGAGCTGATACTGAATAGTTGCTGGACTGAAGTTGATGGTGAACAGTTGCCGGCCAGGAGCTGATGGCGAACAGTTGCAGGCTAGTCCTGATAGAGAACTGTTGATGGCCAGGAGTTGAGGTGAACAGGTGAAGCTAAGTGCTGATGGTGAGCAGATGGAAGCCACCACCTGATCTTGAACCGATGCAGGCGAGAAGATGATGGTGAACAGTTGCAGGATCGGAACTGATGATGAACAGTTGCAAGCTAACAGCTAATTGTGAACACTTGAAGGCCTGGAGCTGACGATGAACAGTTGCAGGCCAGCAGCTGATAATGACCAGATATAGGCCCGGAGCTGATGATAAAAAGTTGCTGGCCATGAGTTGAGGTGAACAGTTGCGTGCCAGCAGCTGTGTAACGTATCGGAAATGAAAAAGGAAAGAAATGTAGAATTGGTGGTGGGCATGAGATGAAGGGAGGTAGAGAGGTTGAAGGGACATGCGAGGAGTATGGTCAGGGGGTCGGCCGAGCAGACAGCACACTGGACTTGTGATCCTGTGGTCCTGGGTTCGATCCCAGGCGCCGGCGAGAAACAATGGGCAGTTTCTTTTACCCTATGCCCCTGTTACCTAGCAGTAAAATAGGTACCTGGGTGTTAGTCAGCTGTCACAGGCTGCTTCCTAGGGGTGGAGGCCTGATTGAGGACCGGGCCACGAGGACACTAAAAAGCCCCGAAATCTCTCAAGAAGGGGAAAGGGAAAGTTTGAAATGAAAGAGAGAGAGAGATTACCGGGTTCACCATAATCCGTGCTACATCAGAGAGAGAGAGAGAGAGAGAGAGAGAGAGAGAGAGAGAGAGAGAGAGAGAGAGAGAGAGAGAGAGAGAGAGAGAGAGAGAGAGAGAGAGAGAGAGAGAGAGAGAGAGAGAGAGAGAGAGAGAGAGAGAGAGAGAGAGAGAGAGAGAGAGAGAGAGAGAGAGAGAGAGAGATATTTAAATCTCTCAAAAATCTCTTTTAATCTCAAATAAATCTCAAATAAATCTCTTAAAATAAAAGTAAATGAGAGAGAGAGACTCGGGAGGGGGAGGCTGTGCGGCTACTTGGCCCTGTTTTTTTTTTTTTTTTTTTTTTAAATTTTCGGTGTTTATCAGCTCGCTGGAATCTGAGCTATGCGTGTGACGTGTGTGAATACTCAGTGATCGCTGTGGATAGTGTTCTGACAGTGAAAACCGTGTAACCTTCGTGATTTTAGTGATTTTGTGGTGCGTGTTTACAGTGAGGACTAGATTGAGCCAGGCGCGGGCAGGCCGCCGCCCGCATCGCCCCCCCCACCCCCACCCCCGCGTCCCAACGGTCAGGTCAGCTGACTGGCCTCTCTCTCTCTCTCTGCCGGGTGTCGCACCTGACTGTGCTTGCCTAGAGTGACTTTTGTTCTGGGCGTAACTATGTCGAATCATATTAAGATCTTGAAACCTAGATCTGTGTCTGGATATCTTCCACAATATTTCTGTTGTGTTTGTGGGTATACTACAAGGAAGAAAGAGTTTGTTCAGTGCAGGGAGGATAAGTGTCCTAACATTTGTCACACACAGTGCAAGACAGACACTGACTTCTGCTGTACTCAAGTGCCAGATCTCAGGACCCAGTGGGGGATTGATGATCTTGTGGAGTACGACACGGAACCTGACTTTGCACCACAGCATGACCTGCCAAATTCCTTCCTAGCAGACACATCTAATCAACAGGCTGCTTTTATTCAGTTTTACAAACTCTCCCAGAAGATTCTCCAACATAGGGAGGCTCTAATTGACATTCTGGGGCTCATTAACTCCTTCAAGGCAGTGTTATCGCGGGGGAGGATACTACTTGACAGTCTTTATGAGGGTGTCCAGCTGCTGGACACCTTTTTTGACCAGGAGAGTGGCTGTGTTGATGGCTTCAGGGTGGTTACTGCAAAAATCAGGGACTCTTAAAGCTTTTCTAAGGTTGTTGGTTGCTTCACATTCCAGAAGATAGTGAAGTAATGGCTTTTCTGTGACAGTTTGGCAGAAGATGCACTCTCTCTGTCGGGGTTCACCAATCTCCCAGTTGCATCTGTAACCATAGTCTATATAACTGCATCATAGTCTATATAACCTGAAAGTGAAGGGACGACGACGTTTCGTCCTCGTCCATTCTCAATCGACTTAAGAATGGTCCAGTACGGACCGAAACGTCGTCGTCCCTTCACTTTCTAGTGTGTGGTCTGGTCAACATACTTTAGCCACGTTATTGTGACTCATCGCCTGCATCTATATAACCTAACTGCTATTGTCCTGTGGATTCCTCTTGGGATATTTAACCTTCCTAATTTGGTTGCCTGAAGATACCATATTGCAAAGGGCGAACCTTCAGCTACTCTCTGGTGCAGGTAGGCTTTGTTGAGATGTGAGAGTTTTTTGGTGATGATGTTTTTTATGTTCCATAGACTGGGATGAATTGTTTTATGTATCACTGGATGACGAGTTGCCAATTTAGCAATTTCATCGGCTTTCTCATTTAATGGGATTCGAACATGGGATGGGATCCAGTTTAAGATTATGTTGAGTCCTTTGCCTTTAGCGACTGCGCCAAGATACGAAATGGTGGTAATTATTTCCCCACGTTATCTTTCCACTGTTTGTGTCCTAATATTTGAAGTGCACCTTTTGAGTCTCTGTGTATGATTGTTTTTTTATTGTTTTGTGCAATCACGTATGCGAATGCCTGTTGTATGGCAAAAAACTCAGTTTGGGTTGATGATACTAGTCCTCCCAGTCTCCAATATGCCTGTACGCTGGCTGTGCAAAGAGCAGCGCCAGCACTCTCATATTCTGAGCCAACCAATCCGTCTGTGAAGATGTGGGTGTCTCTTGCTGCTGCAATGCTATACATTTTCTTTTCTATAATGCGCCTTAGGATTGTTGGATCATAGGCAGCCTCTTTCATTGAGAGACTTTCTATTACTATTTTGAAGGCAGGCTCTTCCCACGGTGCAGAAGTGTAATTTGGGTGTGGATGATCACCCTCTCTATCAAGAATCATGCTTTTTAAATGTAATCTGTTTAGGACATTTCCTGCTCTGGCAGCCCAAGAGTTTCCATTGTTTTGGCCAAGTCCAACCACCAAGGCCTGCCGTACTGGGATTGGATCCGGAGAAATAATTATCTTACTGATAATTACAGCTGTTCTTTGTGATATTCTTTCTTGAAGAGAGGCCAAACCCGTTTCCAGGCTTAAAGTTTCAATTCTGGTCCACACTGGGGCTCCAGTGCGACTCTAATAGCATTACTTTGGGCAACTTCAAGCTTTTTCCACTGTTGGTGTGATAGACTTGTGAGTGCAGGTGTGGCATAGTCGATCACTAATCTGATTGCCTGTACAGAGTATGTATAAAGGACTTGCAGATTGGCTCCTCCAGAGAAAGAGGTTGGCGACCTGAGGATTGCCGTCCGGGCCGCAGTTCGCTCTCTCAAGTATGTGACCTCAGCATTAAAATTCATGTGTGTGTCCAGGATTATTCCTAGATACTGATAAGTGTCCACCCATTCAATTGGTTGACCCTGTACTGTGAGTTGGATGTTGGGCTTCGCTATTTTTATGGGCATGGCCTTTGTCTTTGTGGGGTTGAGTTTGATACCAATCTTTTTTGCCTCTTTACTGATGCAGTCTAAGCATTTGGGTGGAAAGCGTGCCGCATCCCTTCCTTTTATGATGATGCAAAGTCGTCCACGTAGTTTAGCAGCCTGCAGTGATGTGGGAGTTTCAACCTCATTATTCTTTCCATTAAACAGTTCAAGAGAAGGGGGCTGAGAATACCTCCTTGTGATGTACCATTTTCATGTCTTTTGTATTCAGAGACTGTGCCATGAAGTTTTACTCTTGCTTCTCTGCTTGTGAAACAGTTTTTGGTCCAGGAGAGCAGGTTGCCTTTGACCTCTTTATCGATGAGGTAGCAAAGAATACCTAAGGCGCTAGCCAGTTCAAAAGCTTTCTCCAGGTCCAGGAATATCAGCATTTCTGGTCTGCCATTCAAGTGGGCTAACAGAGTTGTAATACATTCCACTGTGCCAACCCCTCTTCTATAGGCATACATATCATGGTGCAGTTTAGACATTTTCCACTCAAGTCTGTTGAGTGCCATTCTGTTAGCCATCTTGGCTGCACAGCTTTGGAGAGAGATGGGCCTGGGATTAGCTGGATCTTTGGATGTTGGGATCGGCACTATGTCTACTCTATTCCAAGCTGTAGATCTAGTTTGAAAAGTCCAGGCTAAATTAATTAACCTTAGGTATGCAGCGTCTCCCTCTGGGCCGAGATTTCTAATAATTTTCTAGTATATTTTGTCGTCTCCGGGAGATGTATCCTTGGAGTTTTTCTTAGCCCGATTGAGTTCGTCCAGTGTGAAAGAGGCATTAGTGTCAGAGACTTCTGCCCATGATTTAAGGATTCTGTGCCACCTTTCTTCCTCTAATCCTGTCTGCACTGCTAATACATCTGATGGAAGCTGATTGCTGGCTGCTCTTTCTGCAAACCTAGTTGCCAGTGCTTCGACTTCCTGTTGAGGATCCTTGGGGTGAGGAGCTTTAGGTGTTTTATTTCCTTTGGCCCGGTGGATTTTCACCCACATCTCTCCAAGAGAGGTGTGTTCATTCAGATGTGAACACCATTTCAGCCACTTTTGTTCTTTTATTAGCCTGGTCTCTTGATGCACATGTTCCTTGATCTCACAAAGTAAGGTTCTGTTGCGGTCACTTGGCTGCTTTTTGTATAGCTTTCTTGTTGTGTTAAGTCTATGATTGAGTTCTTTGACACATTCGAAATAGTACCAACGATCTTTGTGGTGTCTGGTTTCAGTGGGATTGAGCGGTTGGCTGCACTTTGAATTGCTTTGACAAAATCTTGTTCGGCTCGATTAATGTCTTTGGGAACAACATAGTTTCTATGCCACTCTGAAATGAGGTTTTGAAATTGGTCCCAGTTTGCTAGAGCAAAGTTCCAGGCTTCAGATGGAGGTAGAGGTGGGGTGGGTAGATCTAACTTAAGATCAATTTGGACCCCATAGTGGTCGCTTGTGAGTGTGGACTCAACTGACCACGTTGCTGCATCTCTTAGGGAGGCTGAAACGAAGGTAAGGTCTAAGCTACCACCTTGGATGTGGGTGGGTTCATTCTTGTTTAGGATTCGGATTTCTGGAAGCTGGTGTAGTTGATGTACAATGTGAGTGCCGGCCTCATTTGTTGTGTTCGAGCCCAGTGTCAATCGATGATGGGCATTAAAATCACCACAAATGATGTGTTTGATGTAGTCAAACGGAGAACAACAAAACAAACAAACTCAAATAACACTGAGAGATCCATTTCAGCATGTGGGGACCTGTACACATTAAACACTTCAAGCTTGTCGTGTCTTAGCTCACTTGATACTCCCATTACCTCTGTCCCTGCTCCACAATCGGGCGGGGTGGTTATGGATTTTGAGATCAGGTCTCATTTTACATAGATTGCACATCCCCTGGATTGCCCATTGATCCATGGAAGCAAGAAGCCTCGATAGCCTGAGATTTTAGGTTCTAATCCGGCTCGAAGCAGGCTCTCCTGCAGTATCAGGATGTCTATGCCTTTGGTTGCTGCTATGCATTGCAAGTGTTGCAATTTTGTGCACATTCCATTGTAGGATCTTTAGATCTCTAGGTTTTTGGAATTTACTGATATTACCGTGGTATCCATGGAGTCTGATGAACACGCCATGGAAGTTGCAATTGGTGTTGAAGATATTGGTGGACCTGAAATTGATTCATCAAGGTTCCTTTCAGACAAACAGGACTCTATCTGTTTTTTAGGGGAGTGTTTCCTTTCCTGTGTTCTTGAAGGTGAGGATATTGTTTTTTCGAATTTCTTGAGCTTGTGCTCAATTGTCTTTCTAGTCTCTGTGGTTTGCATAATACCGTGTATCGACAGCAGACTTTCGACCAATTCCGTGACCAAAGTTTTGAGCACAACTGGACGCAAAGAGAGCGTCCAATTGTGTGGGAGCACTATTTAATGCTGTGCAGGTTTGGGGCCCCTGGTTACTTTTTGACCCTTCTCAGTAGAAACTTTGACACTGGAATTGTTACTCTTACCCTTATTGCCCCCAGTGTGCTTACTGGATGCAATGGGCAGGCGACTGCTATGAAAAAATTTCTTGTGGCCTCCAGTTATCCCTTTGTCCTGGACGGAGGCCTTCACACCCTTCCCCATGACCGATGGTGAAGGGCCGTGTGCCCCCCTCTACCTGAATTTGTTTTGGTAGATTCCATGAAGTTTTAGTAGGCAGGGGAGCTGGTATAAGTTTTGGTGGGGGTTTTGGCTCCGTTGTAGGCGTGGTGGGGTACGTTTGAAGCCTTTTGAGCCTTTCAGGGCATATCAAGTTCCAGGCGTGATGGGCCTTGGAGCAATTTGAGCACTTTGCTTGGACAGGGTGGTTTGCCTTGTGTTTATCAAGACATATTTTTGTGTCGTGGGGCTGGCTGCAGACTCCACACCTCACTGGGCGTTGGCAGCCATCTTTGTGATGTCCAAATCTCTGACATCTGAAGCATCTTAGGGGCTCTGGGGTGTAAGGCCTGTGTTGGAACACGCCCCAGATTACAAGGTCAAGTTTCTCCGTGATCCATCCTCTTACTGTGAGAAGGACTTGTCGGGTTTCCTGCTTCGTGGTTTTTACCAGGCATCTCTCTGCTGACACCACATAGTTCAGCTTTTCGAGATGATCTAGGGCCATATGTAAGGGATAGTGGAGGATAATGGTTTTTCTTATTTTATCCTTTGGCTTGAGTTCCTCCTCACATTTTTTGTAATTTTTCAGAATCGTCACGGCTGACTCGTCTTTGGGCCCTCAGAATATATTCTCCTCTGAGGTTTGGCCTTACTCTGATCTGGAGCTGGGGGTACTCTTTTTCAAGGTCCACCACAGTGGCGTAGGAAGACTTACCTTCAGTATGCTGGACCTTGAAGACTGGCAGGGTAGAATTAGTCTGAGGAGCTGGAGTGCTTGTCGGTAGAGCTGGAGAAGCTGGAGAGCTTGTCGGTAGATGGATCGTCATGGAGTGGTTTTTCCTGTTTGTTTTAGTAGCAGGATGCCAATCGCATCACTTTCGGCAATTGTACTGAATAGAGATTTTTTTTTTACGACTCTGAGCAGCAACGCTGGTTCTATCACCATTCAATTCGTATTCCATTCTCTTAGTCAAATGCTCACTGTGGAGTGATGTCTGTCTAGTGAAGGTGATGCTCTGTGCTACAGGAGACAAAGTCAACATCCTGATGTGTGTCCGGCAACCCTGACTCCGCCAGACTTACATCACCACACCATCGCGAATTCACTACACATCCCCGACATCACTACGCTACACCAACATCACTACACCAAATCGACATCACTACACCTCCCCGACATCACTACATTACACTGCAACCCGTTCTCGCACTTTCTTACAGTCAATATTGACTTATTAAATGCGTGCATATGTGACATACTAAACATACTAGTTTACCTTGAAAAGCTTCATAGAAAACACCGACCTTACTTAACCTTCTTAGTTTGTTAAGATAAGCATCTTACTGCTTCGTAATTACAATTATTACTTAACCTATACCTATAATAGGTATAGGTTAAGTATATTAAGATAAGTATATTAAGATAAGCATCTTATTGCTTCGTAATTACAATTATTACTTAACCTATACCTATAATACGTTAAGTAATAATTATAATTACGAAGCAATAAGATGCTTATCTTAACATACTAAGAAGGTTAGGTAAGGTCGGTGTTTTCTATGAAGCTTTTCAAGGTAAACTAGTATGTTAAGTTTGTCACATATGCACGTATTTAATAAGTCAATATTGACTATACGAAAGTGCGAGAACGGGTTGTACACTGACATCACTTCACCACACCGAAATCACTACACCGACTGACATCACTACACCCCACCGACATCTCTTTCCCCCTCCCGACCTCACTACACCACACTGACATCACTACAAGACACTGACATCACTACACCACACTGATATCATTACACCACACTGACATCAATACACCATACTGACATCACTACACCACACTGACATCACTACAAGACACTAACATCACTACACTTCACTGACGTCACTACAAGACACTGACATTACTATACACCACACTGACATCACTACAAGACACTTACATCACTACAACACACTGTCTTCACTACAAGACACTGACATTACTGCACCACATTGACATAACATTGTGAACAACAATAGTTTGCTTTGCATTTAAAACCGGTCAATTTCTACACGAGGCTGGACGATGTCTGCCTCACAGACGAACAAACTGAAAACACTTGCAAAACATTCGGCTCGTCTTTATCACTACAATATATCACTTAAAGCAATATATATATAATTATGTGTTATATATCTGTCACCATACCTCTATGCTTCTCATTTATTGTGTAAATATTAAGAGCACACACACACACACACACACACACACACACACACACACACACACACACACGCGCGCGTTATAGGTGCCCTAAAATTCATAATTAACCATAATTAGCTTATCATGACGGTGTAGATTATTGGATGACCTTCAATTCGGGTGAGGTGAGGCCAAGAGACTTGAGGTATGTCGGCGGCGTGTGTTGGCCTGGTGGTCTGGTGAGTCTTAGAGACTTATTGAATGTTTTGGTGACTGTCAAGCAGTGAGTGACCTATATCCTCGCCTCACTGCAGGAACAAGTTTGTCAACCTTCACAAATGTCACCAAATTCTTTTAATATCACCAATCTGATGTCCTGCTCTCTCACTGTAAATCTATCACCGTATCATCCCTCAATCACCATATTAACTCCAAACTCATCACTATCTCCTTATATTTTCTTACAGCTATTTCCGCTCTCATTACTTTCTCAGTGACCCAGCGCAAGACTGTCACAAAGCTCATCACATATCTATCAAATCCTGATCAGTAGCACTAACCCCATCGTAACCCCCATTGATAACAAGAGACCCTCTGATCAGTAGCACTAACCCCATCGTAACCCCCATTGTTAACAAGAGACCCCCTGATCAGTAGCACTAACCCCATCGTAACCCCCATTGTTAACAAGAGACCCCCTGATCAGTAGCACTAACACCATCGTAACCCCCATTGTTAACAAGAGACCCCCTGATCAGTAGCACTAACCCCATCGTAACCCCCATTGTTAACAAGAGACCCCCTGATCAGTAGCACTAACCCCATCGTAACCCCCATTGTTAACAAGAGACCCCCTGATCAGTAGCATTAACCCCATCGTAACCCCCATTGTTAACAAGAGACCCCCTCATCAGTATCATTAACCCCATCGTAACCCCCATTGTTAACAAGAGACCCCCTGATCAGTAGCACTAACCCCATCGTAATCCCCATTGTTAACAAGAGACCTCCTGATCAGTAGCACTAACCCCATCGTAACCCTCATTGTTAACAAGAGACCCCCTGATCAGTAGCACTAACACCATCGTAACCCCCATTGTTAACAAGAGACCCCCTGATCAGTAGCACTAACCCCATCGTAACCCCCATTGTTAACAAGAGACCCCCTGATCAGTAGCACTAACCCCATCGTAACCCCGATTGTTAACAAGAGACCTCCTGATCAGTAGCACTAACTCCATCGTAACCCTCATTGTTAACAAGAGACCTTGATCAGTAGCACTAACACCATCGTAACCCCCATTGTTAACAAGAGACCTTGATCAGTAGCACTAACACCATCGTAACCCTCATTGTTAACAAGAGACCATGATCAGTAGCACTAACACCATCGTAACCCCGCATTGTTAACAAGAGACCTTGATCAGTAGCACTAACACCATAGTAACCCCCATTGTTAACAAGAGACCTTGATCAGTAGCACTAACCCCATCGTAACCCTCATTGTTAACAAGAGACCATGATCAGTAGCACTAACACCATCGTAACCCCGCATTGTTAACAAGAGACCTTGATCAGTAGCACTAACACCATCGTAACCCCCTTTGTTAACAAGAGAGCTGTACACAGAGGAAGGGAAGGGAACTATCAGAAAAAAGCGCCCAGTAAGTACGACTCTCCTTGTCCTCGTAACATTATATCATTAATGGGTTGCCTCTATTAGGGAACCATAAATAGAAAGAACCTTCTACCGAATTTAAATAAACTAATGTTTAAACTATCAATCCTTTGTGTGTTAACTGTACTTGATGTTGGGTTGACGGTTCTAGATGATGGGTTGACGGCCCTAGATGATGGGTTGACGGCCCCTGATGACGGGTTGACGGCCCTAGATGATGGGTTGACGGCCCTTGATGATGGGTTGACGGGCCTAGATGATGGGTTGACGGGCCTAGATGATAGGTTGACGGTCCTAGAAGATGGGTTGACGGTCCTAGATAATGGGTTGATGGGCCTAGATGATAGGTGTACGGGCCTAGATGATAGGTGTACGGGCCTAGATGATGGGTTGCTAGGCCTAGATGATGGGATGACAGGCCTAGATGATGGGTGCATGGTCCTAGATGATGGGTTGACGGGCCTAGATGATGGGTTGACGGGCCTAGATGATGGGTGTACGGTCCTAGATGATGGGTGTACCGTCCTAGATGATGGGTGTACGGTCCTAGATGATGGGTTGATGGGCCTAGATGATGGGTTGACGGGCGTAGATGATGGGTGTACGGTCCTAGATGATGGGCGTACGGTCCTAGATGATGGGCGTACGGTCCTAGATGATGTGTTGACGGGCCTAGATGATGGGTGTACGGTCCTAGATGATGGGTTGATGGGCCTAAATGATGGGATGACGGTCCTAGATGATGGGTGTACGGTCGTAAATGATGGATTGACGGGCCTGGGAGCCGGTCGGCCGAGCGGACAGCACGCTGGACTTGTAATCCTGTGGTCCTGGGTTCGATCCCAGGCGCCGGCGAGAAACAATGGGCAGAGTTTCTTTCACAATATGCCCCTGTTACCTAGTAGTAAAATAGGTACCTGGGTGTTAGTCAGCTGTCACGGGCTGCTTCCTGGGGGGTGGAGGCCTGATCGAGGACCGGGCCGCGGGGACACTAAAAAAAAGCCCCGAAATTACCTCAAGATAACCTCAAGAGACTATATACGCAATTGGCCTAGATGATGGGTGTACGGTCCAAGATGATGGGTTGACAGGCCTAGATGATGGGTTGACGGGCCTAGATGATGGGTTGACGGGCCTAGATGATGGGTTGACGGGCCTAGATGATGGGTTGACGGGCCTAGATGATGGGTTGACGGGCCTAGATGATGGGTTGACGGGCCTAGATGATGGGTTGACGGGCCTAGATGATGGGTTGACGGGCCTAGATGATGGGTTGACGGGCCTAGATGATGGGTTGACGGGCCTTGATGATGGGTTGACGGGCCTAGATGATGGGTTGACGGGCCTAGATGATGGGTTGACGGGCCTAGATGATGGGTTGACGGGCCTAGATGATGGGTGTACGGTCCAAGATGATGGGTTGACAGGCCTAGATGATGGGTTGACGGGCCTAGATGATGGGTTGACGGGCCTAGATGATGGGTTGACGGGGCTAGATGATGGGTTGACGGGCCTAGATGATGGGTTGACGGGCCTAGATGATGGGTTGACGGGCCTAGATGATGGGTTGACGGGCCTAGATGATGGGTTGACGGGCCTAGATGATGGGTTGACGGGCCTAGATGATGGGTTGACGGGCCAAGATGATGGGTTGACGGGCCTAGATGATGGGTTGACGGGCCAAGATGATGGGTTGACGGGCCTAGATGATGGGTGTACGGTCCTAGATGATGGGTTGACGGGTCTAGATGATTGGTGTACGGGCCTAGATGATGGGTTGACGGGTCTAGATGATGGGCGTACGGTCCTAGATGATGGGTTGATGGGCCTAGATGATTGGTGTACGGGTCTAGATGATGGGTTGACGGGTCTAGATGATGGGTATACGGGCCTATATGATGGGTTGATGGTCCTAGATGATGGGTTTATTGGCCTAGATGATGGGTTGACGGGCCTAGATGATGGGATGACGGACCTAGATGATGGGTGTACGGTCCTAGATGATGGGTTGACGGGCCTAGATGATGGGTTGACGGGCCTAGATGATGGGTTGACGGGCCTAGATGATGGGTTGACGGGCCTAGATGATGGGTTGACGGTCCTAGATGATGGGTTGACGGGCCTAGATGATGGGATGACGGGAATAGATGATTGGTGTACGGTCCTAGATGATTGGTTGACGATCCTAGATGATGGGTGTACGGTCCTAGACGATGGGTTGACGGGCCTAGATGATGGGATGACGGGAATAGATGATGGGTGTACGGTCCTAGATGATGGGTTGACGATCCTAGATGATGGGTGTATGGTCCTAGATGATGGGTTGATGGGCCTAGATGATGGGTGTACGGTCCTAGATGATGGGTTGACGGGCCTAGATGATGGGTTGACGGGCCTAGATGATGGGCGTATGGTCCTAGATGACGGGTTGATGGGCCTAGATGATGGAATGACGGTCCTAGATGATGGGTGTACGGGCCTAGATGATGTGTTGACGGGTCTAGATGATGGGTGTACGGTCCTAGATGATGGGTTGATGGGCCTAGATGATGGGTGTACGGTCCTAGATGATGGGTTGACGGGCCTAGATGATGGGTTGATGGACCTAGATGATAGGTGTACGGTCCTAGATGGTGGGTTGACGAGCCTAGATGATGGGTGTATGGTCCTAGATGATGGGTTGATGGGCCTAGATGATGGGTGTACGGTCCTAGATGATTGGTTGACGGGCCTAGATGATGGGTGTACGGTCCTAGATGATGGGTTGATGGGCCTAGATGATGGGTGTACGGTCCTAGATGATGGGTTGACGGGCCTAGATGATGGGTTGACGGGCCTAGATGATGGGCGTACGGTCCTAGATGATGGGTTGATGAGCCTAGATGATGGGTTGATGGGCCTAGATGATGGGTTGATGGGCCTAGATGATGGGTTGACGAGCCTAGATGATGGGTGTATGGTCCTAGATGATGGGTTGATGGGCAAAGATGATGGGTGTACGGTCCTAGATGATGGGTTGACGGGCCTAGATGATGGGTTGACGGGCCTAGATGATGGGCGTACGGTCCTAGATGATGGGTTGATGGGCCTAGATGATGGGATGACGGTCCTAGATGATGGGTTGATGGGCCTAGATGATGGGTGTACGGTCCTAGATGATGGGTTGACGGGCCTAGATGATGGGATGACGGGCCTAGATGATGGGTTGATGGTCCTAGATGATGGGTTGATGGGCATAGATGATGGGTGTACGGTCCTAGATGATTGGTTGACGGGCCTAGATGATGGGTGTACGGTCCTGGATGATGGGTTGACGGGCCTAGATGATGGGTGTACGGTCCTAGATGATGGGTTGATGGGCCTAGATGATGGGTTGATGGGCCTAGATGATGGGTGTACGGTCCTAGATGATGGGTTGACGGGCCTAGATGATGGGTTGACGGGCCTAGATGATGGGTGTACGGTCCTAGATGATGGGTTGACGGGTCTAGATGATGGGTGTACGGGCCTATATGATGGGTTGACGGTCCTAGATGATGGGTTTATGGGCCTAGATGATGGGATGACGGGCCTAGATGATGGGTTTATGGGCCTAGATGATGGGTGTACGGTCCTAGATGATGGGTTGATGGGCCTAGATGATGGGTGTCCGGTACTAGATGATGGGTTGACGGGCCTAGATGATGGGATGACGGGCCTAGATGATGGGTCGAGGGGCCTAGATGATGGGTGTACGGTCCTAGATGATTGGTTGACGAGCCTACATGATGGGTGTACGGTCCTAGATGATGGGTTGATGGGCCTAGATGATGGGTGTACGGTCCTAGATGATTGGTTGACGGGCCTAGATGATGGGTGTACGGTCCTAGATGATGGGTTGATGGGCCTAGATGAGGGGTTAATGGGCCTAGATGATGGGTTGATGGGCCTAGATCATGGGTTGATTGGCCTAGATCATGTGGGTTGATGGTCCTAGATAATAGGTTGCCGGGCCTAGATGATGTGTTGATGGGCCTAGGTGATGGGTTGATGGGTCAAGATGATGGGTTGACGGGCCTAGATGATGGATTGATGGGCCTAGATGATGGGTTGATGGGCCTAGATGATGATGGGGTTGATGGGCCTTTTTGATGGGTTGTCAGCTTAGATGATGGTTTGGCGGGGGTAGATGATGAGTTGATGGGTCTAGATGATGGGTTGACGGGCCTAGATGATAGGTTGACGGGCCTAGATGATGGATTGACGGGCATAGATGATGGGTTGTTTGACCTAGATGATGGGTTCACGGGCCAGAGGATAGGTTGACGGGCCTAGTTCATGGGTTGACGGGCCTAGATGATGGGTTGTCCGGCCTACCGTTTTGTCTGACCTCTTGCCTTAGTGCCCATCATCGTCAGGTGTTCCTCTCGGAGAAAGTTAATGTTAGCACCATTTCGTGGTGTAATTGTCTTATGCGTTTGCTTCGGAGTACTCAGAGCATAGGTTCGAATCCTCCTCATGGCTCCTCAGCCTGTCCTCATAAACAAAAACTAGTGTCCATTCCATGCACCTGCCAAACCCTATGTTTTGAATGAAAAACGCTTTACACACGAATCACAACTGATGACGTCCGAACACCTCCCGAACAAAAGCTTCACTGACGAATTTTATTTGAACCCTCTTTGTAACTGCTTCACCACGCACAAAAAATACAAATAATCGCCAGCAGTACCTAAACACCTAACCTAACCTAAAAAAGGCCCACAAATGGAAAGTATGCTAAAATATAACAATATTCATTTATAGTTGAGAAAATTCCTATTTTGAATGTTAAAATTTAAGAGTGCGTTTTTGGGGGTCGACCGCTGGATGGAATGGACTTGGTTTCAGGACGGGTTGGGTTCATATTGATTTTATCATTAAGATCACGTTAATGTGATTTCATTGCTCATTTGAAAAACTTTGGAGGTAGAATTCCTAGACTGTGATCAGAGAGTATGGCGCAATGAGTGAAACCTTGATTAGACTTCAGTTGGAAGCCTTAGGACTCCTAGTGGATTCAGATGAATTCCAGGTTGCATTGCGTTTGACCATGTCGTGTTCTAAGGCGTTTGGTTGAGAGTACCCTGGGCATAGTTTTGAATTCTCCCCACGGCTTCTTCTACTGATTTTCTCATGTGATATGTTTGATAGCGACTACATTCTGATTCTGATTCTCATTCTCTCTCTCCCTCTTCCCCCCTCTCTCTCTCCCTCTCCTCTCTCTCTCTCTCTCTCTCTCTCTCTCTCTCTCTCTCTCTCTCTCTCTCTCTCTCTCTCTCTCTCTCTCTCTCTCTCTCTCTCTCTCTCTCTCTCTCTCTCTCTCTCTCTCTCTCTCTCTCTCTCTCTCTCTCTCTCTCTCTCTCTCTCTCTCTCTCTCTCTCTCTCTCTCTCTCTCTCTCTCTCTCTCTCTCTCTCTCTCTCTCTCTCTCTCTCTCTCTCTCTCTCTCTCTCTCTCTCTCTCTCTCTCTCTCTCTCTCTCTCTCTCTCTCTCTCTCTCTCTCTCTCTCTCTCTCTCATGTCAGGTCTTATGCTTGACTAGATAGGGACGCCACACCGGAGCTGTTTACTCCAGGATTGGTCTGGAATATGTGGTATACAATATTCTGAATAATTCCTTGCACAAGTTTCTAATGACAGTTCCTATGTTAACCATGCTAAAATATATACTGCTGATGGTGTGAAACTTGAAGGATTTCGGCACCCAAATGGATCCTTGTATCTGCCTCCTACTCTCTACACCTATCTTCCTTACTTTACATTTGCTCGGGTTCAACTATAATAGCCGTTTGTTCGACTATTCCTTAAGTTTGATCAGGTTATGGTACCCGAAAATCCGATGAAAGATGGAATATTTACGAAAAATTACGAAAAATACTACAACGTTCTGGCAACACTGTGGTCCAAACCGTTTAATGATATCTTGAAAAATAACGTAATTAGAGTCAAATTTCCCGCTGCAACTTTCGTGAATCTGGTCCTCGCGCCGTGAGTGCGCCGCGGGGTATTGCATCTTACGTTGTAGATGTCTTATTTTTCGTAATAGCGTTGAAAATAACATGTTATGCATAAAATGAATATAAACTAACACATATGGCAAGAGTATCGTCTGACACGAGGGTGGTGCAGTCAGTGACTGCGTGTCTCTCATGGAGAGAGGATGTATGCTGACGCGCTCACACAATATCTCCCAGAACATGCTATTTTTGCTATTTGTACTGCAATATGACTTACCAAACGAACAAGAGAAAAGCATTGACAGCTAGATGCATGCGAGCTGGCCGCAATGCGTAAATCACCAGTCACGAGTGACCGCAGGTTGAGTAAACTTGTCGAGCGCGCTACGCAACTCCAACTTTTACAACTAGATCTCGTTTCACAGCCTTTATTTATTATTCAATTTACATGAAACTTGCACATTATATGTAGAGTTTACGCCTCTATAAACGCATGTCATTATTCTTATCTACGTAGATTTATTGATTTTATAAATAATGATACACTTCATTTTGTTGCATACGTTTTTGGGAAACTTTTATAAATTTGTATTATTGCACTAAATACATCTGGGATAATGATGTGATATGCAAATCTTTATTATATAGTAAGGTCATAGCTGAGTGTCGTATAAATGATTTTGGTTCACAATTGTGGGCTGTGAAATCAATTGAACATGGTTGAAAAATTCTTTTTTTTTTTCTCCGTCTCTATTTAGGCTGAGATGCTCAAACTTGGCCTAGGTGCAGCACCTTTCACATGTATCAGGATAATAAATTATGAATACCCTACAACAATTTTTTAAATCCTGGTACCATGGCCCCTTAACCTCATGCTGTCCTCCCCTGTCAATCCTCATCATTTTAGCCCCAACAGCAAACATCGAGAGAAATAAATCTGTACCCGCTTTAAGATCATTTACATACATCAGAAATAGAATAGCTCTGAGTACGGAACCCCAGTGGGACTCTACTGATGGCATGACGCCATTATGAGTTCTCACCCCGTTACAGTAACACCCTGCTTCCTATTGTTAGGTACTCCCTTATCCACTGGAGCACCCAACAAGTTACTCCTGCCTGTTTCTCCAACATTTGCACCAGCCTCTTATGGGGCTCTGTGTAAAAGGCTTTTCGACAGTCCAAGAAAATACAGTCTGCCCACCCTTCTCTTTCTTGGTTAATCTTTATCACCTGGTCGTTGAATTCTATTAAACCTGTGAGGTAAGATTTGCCATCCCTGAACCCATGTTTGTGTTTTACATGAAAACTTCTCTCCAGATGTGTTAATAGGTTTTTTTATCACGATCTTCTCCATCATCTTGCATGGTATACAAGTTAGGGTCACTGGCTTGAAGTTCAGTGCCTCTTGTCTGCCACCCATTTTGTATATTGAGATTACGTTAGCTGTCTTCCATTTTTCCGGTAAGCCTCCCGTTTCCAGGGACTGCTTGCCACTCTCCATTGTGTATAATAAAAGTGTTTTTGCACACTTTTTTAGTATCCATAGTGAGATTCATTCCGGTGCAACAGCCTTTCTCATGTCCAGATCCAACAGATGCCTCTTATCCTCATCTCTGGTAATTTTGAGCCCCTCTCAAAGCTACCCGGTTTACTGCCACCTTTGTTGCTTCAGGGACTTCTCGTACTATTGTGAAGACTTCCTGGAATATCTTGTTGCGCAAGTTTCTTCAGTCACCTCTTTGTCATTCTCTGTCTACCTGTGCTCACCCATTCTCAGTTTCATCACCTGTTCTTTCGCTTTTGTTTTCCTCCTGATGTGAATGTGGAGCAGTTTTGGTTCAGTCTTTTCTTTATTTGTTGTCATTTAAATCCTGCTTCTTCTCTTCTCACTCTGAGGTATTCATTGAATAGTTGGATGTATTAATATGTGGTCCTTTTGGATCGCCCTCTGCTTCTGTTATTTATTTAGTTCCTCCACGCCCTTGCATTTATTTGTCTTGTTTCCTCACATCCCTGATTAAACCAAGGATTCCTCTCTTGTTTTTCTTGTTTTATCCTTTTTGACCAGGATAAACATGTTTACTGTTTCTTGACCCTTTAATGTGACGTAATCCATCATATCTTGTACAGACTTTACTCTAAGTTCTGTTTCCTATGGTAATTCGGCTAGGAATTTTCTCATCTCATATTTTCCTTTTCTATTCACCAGCCTTCTGCTTTCTGGTCCTTTTTTTAGGAGACTACCCCTAACTCCACCATACACTCAAATGTCAGTAATCTGTGGTCACTCATTCCAATGAGGGTTTCTAACTTTACTTCCCTTATGTCAGCGACATATCGAGGGTGAATATCAGACCGAGTCTATCTGGTTATATCTTCCCCTCTCATGCTTGACATGTTAGCTTAGATTGTTTCTTGCTGTCACGTCCATTAGTTTAGCTCTCCAAGTATCTAGTTCTTCATGTGGGTCTCTGTTCTCCCAGTCTATCTTTCCCTGGTTGAAATATCCCATTATTAACAGTCTGGATCTGTTCCTGCAAGCAACAGTAGCTACTCTCTCTGTATTATGTTAATGGTAGCCATTTTGTTTCTATCATATTCCTATCTGGATCTTCTGTCATTTGGTGGGGAGGTATATATTACTGCTACAATAATATTTTGCTCAACTGTCATGGTGCCTGTTATGTGGTCACTGAATCCTTCACAGTTCGGGATAACCATCTCTTCAAAACTCCGGTCTGTTCTCATCAGCAGACCCAGTCCTCCTCCATCTCTTCCTTCCCTCTCTTTCCTTACTACATAGTATTCTACATAGAATGATTGTATCATTCTACAACACAATGTAGAATGATACAGTGCCCCTGATAGTCTTTATTTACTGTGTCTAGCCAAGAGAAAAAGTAATTAAGAAGAAACGCTTAGCTAGTATCTAACCAAGAGTTTGCTATATCTTTAATATATAAATGTCTGAATTGTGTACCTGCCTAAGCTTTCCAGAAACTACCAGCCTAGTTTTAGATCAAATGTTCTGTTACTGTTTGTCTTTTTTGGTACTCATTAATATTGGATTTTATAATCTTTAATATGAATTACGGCCCTACAGCATCATGGGTCTGTAATTTCAGTTTACATTTGAAAATAGAATATATGAGTTAAGGAAACTACCGTAGGTTTATTGACCCATACGAGGCAGCTCTTACTTATCTCTACCCAAACTCATTCATATATATGTCTAACCTTTGCTGGAGACAGTCAAGTGCTATTATGTTACCCGTAATAGATGAGCCATTGGTCAGTAATCCTGTTCTGCAACTCTTCTGATGAAAGGGTTCCTCTTCCGTCATAAAGGGAAACCCTTTCCTCCTGTCCTTCAAGTCGCCGAATAAACAAACTGCTTAACGAATCGATTTTTATTAATAATATTTTATAGGGCTATAATTATAATTAGTATTACCATTCGGCTTCTAACCATCATAAAATATAAATATTACCCAATCCACTCTAAAGTTGTATATATAGACGGGGATGTTGAGAGTAGCGTGTCAGTCTCTCCTTAGCGTGTCATATCAGCTTATCAGAGATGAGGTGAGTGACCAGAGCTGCTAGGTCGTGTGTTTGACCATATATTACTACTCGTGTAATCGTCTATGTTGACACCCTCATAAATACTGTCAAGCATTATCCTCCCTAGCGAAAGCAGCCTGACGATTAAATGCGACCTCAGCATACAGTATACATTTACTACAAAAATTAATCTATCACTTACGGGCTATTCATGCCCGTGCCACCTCTTGGGTGGTTTAATCTTCATCAATCAATCAATCGTCTATGATACTGTGTGAACAATCCCCACTGCTGCAATTTGTATTACTGGTTGAAAAAAAATATTTATACAACTATTGCTACAATTGATAATTATGCTATTGACAGTACTCGTCTATTAATACTTACTCAACCGTTGATATTATATTTACTACATTGCATTTACATTACAATATTACATTTACTTCATGACAATAATTTTCCGGACTGAGGAAGATGAGCTTGGTGGCAGAGCCTTCAGCTTTTTTATCTTCACCTCTTGCATCCAGACGGACTGGAGGAAAAAAAGTAATATGGTCATCGAGATCGCGGTGTTCTGATGCCTAATTGTTTCTTATGCTCCTGTGTACTTGTTCCAGTCCTAATCTTCGCTAACCCCCAAGACTCCCTTAAGACACTCTGCCTCTTCCCTCAGAGTGTTGGCGTGGTGGAGGGTGTTGGCTGTGGTGGCGGTGCTGGCGGGGACGTGCTCGGGGAAGGTCTTCACTAAATGCGGTTTGGCATCACTCTTGGAGAAAACGTATGGCCTCAACCGAGACGTTGTTAAGAGATGTACGTAGTAAAAGGTTGATTTTTTTCCCATTGTTCTCTTTTTTTTGTAAAGATAATATACACTACCGTATGTCAGAGGAAATCGACGAAAATTAATGCAAGCTACATTGGTATTCAAACGGAGAATAATTAGTATATTTATAATATATTGTCAAATAAAGTAAATGAGAATGAAGTGCAATTGCGCATTAATCACTGAAAATAATAAAGCCAGTGCAGAAGAGGATCACGGGTTGGGATCGAAATATAGTCTACATCTATTTATCTTTTCAAAATAGTAAGTTATTATTTTCATTGCCAAATTAAAGTTTATATATTTTTCCTGAAGGTGAAGGATAGACGCAATTTATGTTTATGGGTATTAAAACAATTTTTTCGATGCATCCTGCATCCTTTCTCAAAGTTTAGCAGACCTTTGTATAGAGCACTTTGAGGAGTCCCTCCTTCACTACACGGTATGCGTAGGTTGTCTTCATGAGGTTATCTTGAGATGATTTCGAGGCTTAGAGTCCCCGCGGCCCGGTCCTCGACCAGGCCTTCTTTTTGTTAAACATTCCCAGGAAACTGCCCGTAGCAGCTGTCTAACTCCCAGGTACCTATTTACTGCTTGGTGAACACGAGCATGAGGGTAAAAGAATCTCTGCCCACATATTTCTGTCTCCACCGGGGATCGAACCCGGAACCTTAGGACTACGAATCCCAAACGCTGTCCACTCAGCTGACAGGACCTTGGCAGCTGACGTTGCAACCAAGAATTTGGTTTGAGTGCATTTACACATATATTGGGTCTTTCCTTCTCCTTCATTCAAGCACTACAGCATTGTAGTAAGTCTCTCTATATTTTTCCTCTTGTAATATTAGAGTGTGTTAATATTAAGTGAACCTAAATGATAGGTGATCTAACCCGCATTTAGAACCCAATTGAAGCAACTGGAAATCATAAGCAAAAGCCAAATGCTTGTTAATCCAGCCGCCAAACCTCCCTTGTTTATGAGGGAAAAATACTATACACACAACTCACAGCTGCCGACGTATGTACTCATCTCCAGCAGTGCTTCCTTCACGACCTTTGCTTCATTCACATCTTTCTAAATATTTCATTCACCAAATGCAGACACCAGTAATTACCAGCAGAATCTAACCTAACTATACAACATTAGTATATAATAATTTTATGTTTGATAAAATACTATTTATGAATGCACAGTGTGTGAAAATTGATGCGAGAATACGTCCCTGAGAATATGTCCCTGAGGTTATGTCCCTAAGAATATATCCCTGAGGTTATGTCCCTAAGAATATTTCCCTGAGAATTCGTTCCTTAGAATACCTCCCTGAGAATAGGTTCTTGAGAATACGTCCCCTGTGAATACGTCCCCTGTGAATACGTCCCCTGTGAATACGTCCCCTGAGAATACGTCCCCTGAGAATACGTCCCCTGTGAATACGTCCCCTGAGAATACGTCCCTGAGAATATGTTCCTGAGGTTATGTCCCTAAGAATATTTCCCTGAGAATAGGTTCTTGAGAATACGTCCCTGAGAATACGTCCCCTGTGAATACGTCCCCTGAGAATACGTCCCCTGAGAATACGTCCCCTGAGAATACGTCCCCTGTGAATACGTCCCCTGAGAATACGTCCCCTGAGAATACGTCCCCTGTGAATACGTTCCTGAAAATGGAACGATGCTGAAATCATTAAGAATTTGTTTCATTAGCTGCATCATAATTAATGCACCAAACAATGGAGGCAAAAACACTCCTGGTACAGACGCTTCCTTCATTCTGTGACCACTGGTACAGACGCTTCCTTCATTCTGTGACCACTGGTACAGACGCTTCCTTCATTCTGTGACCACTGGTACAGACGCTTCCTTCTTTCTGTGACCAATGGTACAGACGCTTCCTTCATTCTGTGACCACTGGTACAGACGCTTCCTTCTTTCTGTGACCACTGGTACAGACACCTTCCTTCATTCTGTGACCACTGGTACAGACGCTTCCTTCTTTCTGTGACCACTGGCACAGACGCTTCCTTCATTCTGTGACCACTGGTACAGACGCTTCCTTCATTCTGTGACCACTGGTACAGACGCTTCCTTCATTCTGTGACCACTGGTACAGACGCTTCCTTCATTCTGTGACCACTGGTACAGACACTTCCTTCATTCTGTGACCACTGGTACAGACACCTTCCTTCATTCTGTGACCACTGGTACAGACACTTCCTTCATTCTGTGACCACTGGTACAGACACTTCCTTCATTCTGTGACCACTGGTACAGACACCTTCCTTCATTCTGTGACCACTGGTACAGACACCTTCCTTCATTCTGTGACCACTGGTACAGACACCTTCCTTCATTCTGTGACCACTGGTACAGACGCTTCCTTCATTCTGTGACCACTGGTACAGACACCTTCCTTCATTCTGTGACCACTGGTACAGACACCTTCCTTCATTCTGTGACCACTGGTACAGACACTTCCTTCATTCTGTGACCACTGGTACAGACGCTTCCTTCATTCTGTGACCACTGGTACAGACGCTTCCTTCATTCTGTGACCACTGGTACAGACACTTCCTTCATTCTGTGACCACTGGTACAGACGCTTCCTTCATTCTGTGACCACTGGTACAGACGCTTCCTTCATTCTGTGACCACTGGTACAGACTCTTCCTTCAATCTGTGAGCGCTGGTACAGACACTTCCTTCAATCTGTGAGCGCTGGTACAGACACTTCCTTCAATCTGTGAGCTCTGGTACAAACACTTCCTTCATTCTGTGAGCCTCTCCATCAGGGACACCGAAGGCGTCAAAATACACATTTATCACCAGTCTAACTTATCCTTCCCAAATTTTGTTTGTGAAGAGAGTGTGTGAATCACAGACAAAATTTTATCTGTGTAGAGAAGCGTCGTCCACTCCTGTGTGTCATCTTAGCTCGAGAAGAGTGAGGTTATTGTTGACTAAACAACACACTAGAAGATGAAGAGACGACGGCGTTTTGGTCCCGTTCTGGACCATTATCAAGTCGATTGACCATTATGACGTCTACCATCACAATCCTTCCGTACAAACGTGGTCGTCTCTTCATCTTGTAGTGTGTGGTTTGGTCAACACTTCCTCAGCCACCTTATTGTGACTCAACATCTGTGTGAGGTTATTGATGCTCTGCCGGGCATCAATAATCTCGGTGATGTTTGTATTTTCTTGTTTTCTTGTGGGAATAATGGTTTGGGTTCAATGTCTAATGCTTACTTGTTTTTTTTTTACACTCGATACTACCACCATCACCACAATTTTCACTATCGCCGTATCCACTACCACAACTACTATTACTGTCATCACTATTAATTAATACAATCAATATAATTTCCATCAACATCAACCACACTATCATCTCTACCGATCTCGTCACCATCACTACCACCAACACCACAACCTTTACTACCATCTCGCTACCATTACCACCACCATTATCACAACCAACTGAACATCTTCCTACAACTCACCATCTCACTACCATCACCAACTCGCTATATCATTACCATCACCATCTCACCACATCACTATCATTACCACTATACCATCACACGGCATCGTTACATCACCTTCCAACCTGCACCACCACCGCTATACACCGCCACACTACCACAACATATCTACAGTCGTGTGCATTGCTCAGTACGAGTCTGGCTTCAACACCAAGGCTCTTAACGTCAACAGCAACGGCAGTAAGGACTACGGCATCTTCCAGCTCAACAACCAGTACTGGTGCTTGGACAGCAGGGGCGGCAAGAATGTCTGCAAGATGGCGTGCTCAAGTAAGAGTGTTATTCTTTTGGTGTGGGCTTCAGGAGATAGGTTCGGTGTGATATCAACTCTTAGGTCTTTCTCTCTCCATCCGTACCCAACCACTTGGGGTGGACAGTAGAGCGACGGTCTCGCTTCATGCAGGTCGGCGTTCAATCCCCGACCATCCACGTTGTTGGGCACCATTCCTTTCCCCCCGTCCCATCCCAAATCCTTATCCTGACCCCTTCCAAGTGCTATATAGTCCTAATGACTTGGCCCTTTCCCCTGATAGTTCAATTCAATTCTCTCTATCCGTTTCGTGGAGACTTTGTCTCCAATTGTGTATGTTGTGTCTGGTCTCCTGTTCCCTCCGTCTAGTTTCATTACCTTACATTTACTTGGGTTGAACTCTAGTAGCCATTAGTTGGACCAGTCCATCAATTTGCCTAGGTCATCTTGTAGCCTCTTGCTATCTTCGTCGGCCATAATCCTCCTCATAATATTTGCATCATCAGCAAATATTGAGAGGAACTAATCTATTCCCCCCAGAAGATCATTTACATATACCAGAAACTGGATAGCTCCAAGGACTGAACCCTATGGGACTCCACTGGCAAAACATCCTCACTCTGAAACCTCACCCCTTCACAGTGACACGTTGTCTTCTGTTACTTATGTACTTCCTTATCCAATGAAGCACATTCCTTTTTACTGCTGCCTGAATCTCCAGCTTGTTCACTATTCTCTTATTGGGTACTGTGCCAAAGGCTTTCAGGCAATTAAAAATATGTAGTCTGCCCACCCAATCTTTCTTGCCTGCTCACACAATTCAGTTAATCCTATGAGGCAAGATTTGCTAGCCCTGAACACATGCTGATGATGTGTTATAAATTTCTTTCGCTCCAGATGTTCAAGTAGTTTTTTTCGCAAACTCCTCTTCATTACCTTGCATGGTATGCAAGTTAAGGACACTAGCCTGTTGCTCAGTGCCTCCTGTCTTTCACCATTTTTGTTTATCGGGAATACATTAGCCGTCTTCCAAATTTTTGCCAGTTCTCCTGTTACCAGTTATTTGTTATACACCAAATATAGAGAGCAGCATGCATAGAATTATGCAACTTCTTTTAGTATACATTGTGAAATTTTAGTATCCATGGTGATATTAAAGACCTACAGCCTTTGTCACATCCATCTCAAGCAAATGCTTCCTTACTCCCCGCTGGTAGTTTCAAATACCTCCAAAGGTGCCTTGTTAGATATTCCTTCCCTTATCTCCGGAACTTCTCCTTGCTGTGAATTTATACATCACATTGTGATGTATAAATTCTTCAATTTATGAATCACAACGTGTGATATATAAATTGAAGAAACCACTTATAAATCCGAAAATTAAGCTTCACTATAAATCATTACGGAAAATATGTAAATGAATGAATAATGAAGTGATTTCGAAATCAAACTCATTGTCAGATTACAGTAATATTAAATTTATGGGTGCTTGAAGTTATGTGTCTCAAGCTCACTGGCTCCCAACTCGGGTCCATGGACCCCGAGAGGTCCATGGAACAATTTCAAGGGTTCCATGGGACTAATACTATGTACTGCATTGTACTCTTAGCAAAATATTACAACTTAAGTGAGTTGAACTGAATGTCTCTTGCTATCATCTACAAACAATTTTATTTGGGAATAAGAGTGCAGGGCTTATGTCTTGACTGTATGTATTTGTCTCAGCGATGGCTGCTGTCACTTTTGCTGGCTCCATTTATTTTATTTCAGAGCTTCACAGATGTGAACGTGGTTGTAAGGGTTCACTGCTATGAACGTGGATGTAAGGCTTAACAGTTGTGAATTTGGCTGAAATGGTTCACAGATGTGAACGTGGTTGTAAGGGTTCATTGCTATGAACGTGGTTGTAAAGGTTCACAGATGTGAACGTGGTTGTAAGGGTTCACTGCTATGCACGTGGTTGTAAAGGTTCACAGATGTGAACGTGGTTGTAAGGGTTCATAGATGTGAACGTAGATGTAAGGGTTCACAGCTGTGAACGTGGTTGTAAGGGTTCACAGCTGTGAACGTGGTTGTAAGGGTTCACAGCTGTGAACGTGGTTGTAAGGGTTCACAGATGTAAACGTGGTTGTAAGGGTTCACAGCTGTGAACGTGGTTGTAAGGGTTCACAGCTGTGAACGTAGATGTAAGGGTTCACAGCAATGAGCGTCGATGGAAAAGTAGGAATGGTACATGAAAGGGAGGGATCCACTGATGTAGGTTACCTGGAAATAGGTCACGCAATGATTGCTGTTTTCCACAAGTCAACGGATCGTTTTCAATTATTTTTGAAGACATTTTGTAGAAATATTTAATAATTGACTTATTTTTGGCTTGTCACACAATGTTAAATAAATCACAGAAACCATATAAATTTATATTTTTCTTTTAAGGATAGTGTGCCTAATTTTCTCTTACAATTCATATAAATGCACAGCATCAATACAAGTGATGTACTGTGGGTGTGTGTCTCCACCTTTACCCACAATCCACTTAGATTGGTCGATTCGGATTGCTTAAGCGTATGGTCATGGCTGCTGAACTCCTTCCCCCATATCCCTATCCTCTCTAATTGATTTATTTAACTCTCTCTAGTGCTTTATTGCCATACTGGCTTAACGCTTTTTCCCCTAACCATTTTCCTTTATTCACTGTGACCATTGTTAAATTGCACAATATTTTAATACTTAAATTCCTGGTCCGAGGATGTGCATTTTGTAATAATTTAATAACGGTATTTACAAATATCTGGTGTCGGCGCATGACGTGATGTGCGATCGAGGGTAATTTTATCCTTATCTTGGTGATTGACCCTAAATGTCCATTTCAGATCTACTGAACGACAACCTGTCAGATGACGTGAGATGTGCACGGACCATCGTCAGGGAAACAGAGAGTTGGAAGGGCAAGGGGACCGGATTCACGGCTTGGTTAGTAGGGGTAACTTTTCTAGAACATTGCCTTGATGCCGTTTCTCAGATTTATTGCCCGTGGCAGTTTTAGTTTTATTCCATATTATTTTGCAAAATTAATTGTAATTATTGACATTTTGGTAAAAATCTTGCATTTTCTTCCTGACGATCAGGGCGGCCTACGTGACTCACTGTCAGAACCGCAACTTGGACGTGTACATGTCCGAGTGTTGGCGTAGTGGTTGACAGAGAACGAGGCCGCGGAGGTGGTGGGGGTGACTCGCCTATAATTGACCTTCTGACTTCACCGACACGCTTCTGTTACTGAAATGCTTCACGGCCATATATGTTTTATAAAATGTTTTCGTTTTACCTTACTGACATGTTTCCTTAAATTTAAATGTCACCTAATGTGAACAATAGTTATATTGTTGAGGCTACTCTTATTTCTCAAATATTAGACTACAATAATAAATAATTATAAAAATGGCTGAATGCTTCAGGAATGACAACTCTGCAGATAAAATGCGACATGTCTGAGCTTGAAATATTTAAGATTATAAACAAGCTAAGTAACCTAGACACTGGTTATTTTGCAACATTAAAATAAATATGGACTTATTTTAATGGAACGTTAAGTAATGTTTAATGTAGTAATGTAATGTTTTGTAACCTAAATATCGGTTTACCTAACCGATATTTAGGTTAGGTAAACATCTTTCTCAAGAGGCCAAATATGACACCCAATTTGAGGCAATAATATCAAGCTTGCACTCCCACAACGCATAATAAAGAACACCAGATATTTTTTCAATCACAAGTTTACCTCTCAATACCATTGGGGTTGGCAACTCTGAAAGTATTTCCTCCGTGTGTAAAAGATATATGCTGTTTTCCCCATTATTTGTTCAACGTAAAATCGATTTCAGCATATAAAAGTACATTCAATATAGACTTAAATGTAATCACAATGATATATCTTACACGGTTGGTAGAGTGCACAGCAATGTCGCTTCAGCTGTCTTTAATGAAAGATTTGTTAGGAATTTTCATTAATCTGTAGAAACATATGTTAAATAATTTTATTGTATGACATTTTTCAAAAGAAGGGCATAATGTTTCAGTGAAATGACTGAGTAAACAATGATAATGTAACCTTTGACATATTTATTACCCGGTAGAGAGTAAATGATCATATGTATATAATTTTAAAATTTATTTCCAATGTAAGTTTGACGTGTATTTCTCCCAAGGAGAAAGCTGTGCATGTTAGGAGAAAGTTGATTTTTTATATACGACATTACTCTGCTGAGAATAGTCCTTGCAAGAAAAGAAAGTGGTTATTTAGTTGTGAAGTGTCTGGTGTGCACCCATCTGGACAACTGTGTCCAAGCATGAAAACCTCATCCTCAGAAGGGCACATCTGCTTTGGAGAAAGTTTAACACAGCGTCAAAAATCATCCCAGAACTAAGTCGACTCTCAGACCAGGATCGGTTGAGGGCCAAAGGGCCTAAACAGCACTGTAAACCAGACATGACAAAACTGATCTCACTGATACCTTTAAAACATATCAAAGGATATTAATCCAGACCTCTTCTCCTAAAGGTTAACTGTATCACAGTTTCAAGCACCAACAAGCCTCAATTATGGACAGAAAACAGGAGATACTATGTCACCCATGGAGTCATAAACTCATGGAACTACCTACCCGTCCGAGTCGTTACTGCAAAGACATTACTTCATATCAAATTGGAAAAAAATACTCAGGAATAAGGAGGGGGGGGGCCTTTGACAAGCTGACGCCATCCTGTCTCCGTCGAGGCCACAAGAGATGGTAGCTTTCAGGTATAAAGATAATGAGGGCCCTGAGTCCATTGGCCCAGCTGGACTTTGTCTATATAGTTCAACTAGAAAACTCTTAGGTATGTTGAGATTTAGAAGTCTCGAAGAATTGTATATGCCATCGTCTCCAGGAAAGTTGCCCTGCTTTTTTGTGCATTTCGTTCCAACGAAGAGATGGCATATACATACACAAGACCTAGTACAATATTATTTGGAAACAAACCATCAAGCTAAATACACCCTCAGGTAGATTACGTAAACATTGATATTAAAGAGTTTGAAAGTTTTTGGCTTGTGCATAGACGAGAGTTAACTTCAGTATTCGCATACACCACATAATCAAAAAAGATCTAAACTGTTAGTTTAAAAAATTATATACTATATCTCTCACTCTGTTCTTCTCACACTATATTACTCGCTAATCTATGCCTTTCCATAACTGAATTTATCTGAGGGCCACCATCCCACCAGAGGCCTCGACGTGGACAGGAAGCCAGTAGCTTATCATAGCCACCCTCTTTTGTCCTAATGATTTTGAACAACTGGATTTTAAATTGTAGTAATTTTTTGCCATGTACTTTTTTGACATCTTCCAGTTCCTTTACGACATCCGATTGAATTCCGTCTACACCTGAGGCTTTGGAATCTTTTAATGTGTCAGTGCTGTTCTTAATTTCATATCATGTTATGTGAAAACGTATTAAATCGTTCCCTTTACATGCTTCAAACATTTGGTTATTGGGATGTTGTCTACTCTCTTGTGTGAACACTGTGTACTCACCTAATTGTGCTTGCGGAGGTTGAGCTTCGGCTCTTTGGTCCCGCCTCTCAACTGTCAATCAACTGGTGTACAAATTCCTGAGCCTACTGGGCTCTATCATATCTACATTTGAAACTGTGTATAGAGTCAGCCTCCACCACATCACTTCCTAACATGGTGTGTAAAGTATTCAGAGTGTTGGTTGCCCTTTTATTGTATATTATAACTTGTTTGGTCTCGTCTTTTAAGGGGTTTCCCAGTCCTTTGTTTTGGACTTTTCTTTAAGTTATGAGCAGGTTTGCTTTCATCGTTTCTTTTCGCTTATTTGATTTCCTGGGTGGCTGTATTTAAGGCCCCCTTCTGTATATCTCATAATTAAATCTGTTGTTCTTTGTGGACTGATCCCTGCTTCAGAGGTTACCTTGAGATTACCTTGAGGTGCTTCCAGGGCTTAGCGTCCCCGCGGCCCGGTTGTCGACCAGGCCTCCTGGTTGCTGGACTGATCAACCGGTCGGACTGGGAGCCGGTCGGCCGAGCGGACAGCACGCTGGTGTTGTGATCCTGTGGTCCTGGGTTCAATCCCAGGCGCCGGCAAGAAACAATAGGCAGAGTTTCTTTCTCCCTATGCCCCTGTTACCTAACAGTAAAATAGGTACCTGGGTGTTAGTCAGCTGTCACGGGCTGCTTCCTGGGGGTGGAGGCTTGGTCGAGGAAAGGGCCGCGGGGACACTAAAAAGCCCCGAAATCATCTCAAGATAACCTCAAGATAAGATAACCAGGCTGTTGGACGCGGCTGCTCGCAGCCTGACGTATGAGTCACAGCCTGGTTGATCAGGTAAACATTATTGCCAACAGCATTTGGTGTTCCCAGGCGGTCACCCAAGTACTAACCAAACCCAACGTTGCTTAACTTCGCTGATCGGACGAGAATCGGTGTTCTCAACGTGGTATGGCCGTTGGTTGTGGCTGTGCTTATTTGTTAAAGTTTTATTTTTCTGCCGGTGATATCCTTCTTTTTCTCTTTGACTTCCTAACATGTATTTTGAGGAAGTGCAGCGTTGATCTTTTTGACATTTTCCCAAAAAATACTTTCATGCCTTGATCACCTATTAACTTCTATCAAATTCCCATACCTTTACCTTTTCCCATGCTAATTCATTATTCTCATACTTCACCTTGCAATGTGTAAAAATAAAGCTTGGTACAAAAGAATTAAGAATGGGTAAGTCAGTTTAACACAAGAATTCGTCCAACAGGTTAGAAATATTAAAAGAAAGAGATCGACAAGGATGGCAAAAATCACTATGAAGTTCGTATAGGACGGCAAGCATAGCGTCCCTGTGGCGCAGTGGAAAGACACTCACCCTGCACTTCGCGACGATTTTGCTTGGGTTCATATCCTGGCCAGGGAAGATTTACTAGGCGTCAAATCTTAATTGAAGCCTCTGTTCACCTAGCAATGAATGAGTACCAGGTTGTTAAAAAAAATTTGGGTTAATTATTTAATTTTAATTCGGGTTAATAACAAAATTAAAGAGAAAATAAAGATTAGGGTCCAGACCGAACGCTATGCGTGATAGTGGTTTTACAACAATGTAAGAACTCATGTATATGTACAAAAATAGAAAACAAATCAACAAGTTTTTCAGTTATATCGAACAAAGATTAGTGAGAGGAAACGCCCATTACAAACTGTGACAGGTCATATAACTGACAATGACGAAAAGATGAGTACTATTTTGAACTGTCCTCCACCCCACTATGGTGGGGAAGAGGACAGTTTGACTATGCAGACGACGAGTCACAATAATGTGGCTGAAGATATGATGACCAAACCACACACCAGAAGATGACAAGGCGACGACGCTTCGGTCCGTCCTGAACCATTGTCGTCAACTTGATAATGGTCCAGGACGGACCGAAATGTCGTCGTATCCTCATCTTCTGGTGTTTTGTGTGGTCATCATGGGTTGACTGGTTTAGTAGTTACTAGGGAGGATGCTATTAAACAAACAATAAAACTCAAGCCAAACAAGTTTCCATGGTCGAATGAGGTGTTTGCCAAGATGCTTAAATAATGCAAAGATGAAATTTGCGAGCCATTGTCTTCCATATTTAATAACTCATTAGAGTAAGCCAGAGTGCTGGAGTCATGTAAGGTTGCTAATGCGATAAAAAATTTCAAGAAAAAGAGAAAGATCACTTGTGTATATTATAGACCAACTAGCTTTACATCTATTGTGGGAAAATTGCTTGAATCGATAATTGCAAGAGCCAATCGTCTTCATCTTGAACAAATATATGATTCACAACATGGTTTTACTACTGGCCTTTCATGTTTAACAAATTTGTTATCATTCTATTCAAGCTTGATTGAGGCAGATGATAGTGAAAAGGTTTGTGACGTTCAGTGCCTTCACTCAAGCAAAACTTTTGATAGTGCCACATGGACAGTTGATTAAAAATATAAAGGCTCACTGCATTGGGGGTACTATATTAAGTTAGATCTGTGCATGGTTATACTAAAGGAACAAATAGTTAGAATAATTAAAATTAAGAAAGTTGGAAAACTGTTGTAAGTGGAGTGTCTCAAGGCTCTGTTCTGGGACCTCTTTTCATAATATAAAATTATTTAGATTCACATCAATGTACAAAAAAACAATGCATAAATATTCGAAATAATGCATATAAAAACATTGGGATTTATTTATTGAGGAGTTAGTAATCAAATACCTAGTGTTATTCTTCAACTATATCTTGCTTTCGTTAGGTCCCATTTAGATTATGCAGTTCTGACTTTTCCGTTTAAGCAGATCTTGGAGGTCCTTTGTGACGGTAAAGCGTTGGTGTTCGGCTGTTTCAAAAGCTAGGGGCAGGGCCTCGTCACATTAGAGAGAAAAAAAAGAGAAAAGCTGGAACTTTCGTCTGTGGTAAGGTAATGGGAAGACACACAAAACACAAGTAAATTTAACAATGAAATTTTAATTACTTTAGAAAAACAAGACATGAATAAAGTTAAGCACATAAAATATAAAAGACAAGTCAACAAACAAAATAATATGAATAATCACTGGCAAATGAAAAGTTACGTTAAGACAAGTGAGTTACAGTGATAGCAAAATAAATATGAATGGAGCTGGAATATTGGCTTCGAGCTGCCACCTCCCTTAGTACACGAAAGCCAAGGCTTAGTCTACCAGCGAGAGATGTCAACTGCAAGGAGCACTGAGATATTCTGACAATACTGGGCCACTGCAGCCTAGACATCAACTTGTGGCGGAGGGCGGAGGGCAGATGCGACGGGACACCAGCCAATCAGCGACAGGCAGGCAAAGGACAAGCAGTTTGCTGATTTACGGTGGCGGTAGCTAGCAGGTGTCGCTGTGTGCTGGGTACGTTTTGCTCTCTGGGCAAAACGTTTGGCGATACTTGCTGGACGTATCTTCTATATTATCTTTTGTTTTTACGTACTTTGTAGGGAAGAGCAGGCTCAATCT